TGGGCAGCCCCTCTATCAGTTTGTCAGCCGCTGCTCTTGCAGCTGCTCTCGCACGGATAAACACCCCAGTGTTACACCTGCAGGCGCCGGAGCTCGCTTCAAGCCGCGCTGCTCCCAAGGCCGCGGTAGAACATCCCGAGCATCGCTCCAGGCCAGCGGACGCTTGGAACCTGTCGGCACCTGGGTCACCCGCCCCAGTTATAACCGTGCACGGAAAAGGGATTGGAGGTTCCCGCAGGAAGGTGGCGCGGGATTTGCCTCGGGGAATCTGCAGGATGGCTGATGCCATCGCTGAACCTCTCTGCGCTACGGGGTGTTGATTTGCATGCAAGGTCTCCACACAGGACACCAAAGCGTCCCCGCAGAGGGCCCTGGGCACCTGGCGGGGGGGATCTGGTACCAGTCAGGACGAGGAGCGGGCGTTACCTGCGAGGGGACAGAGACCCGGGGGCGTCTGCTGTCGTACGAAGGACAGGAACTCGTATTCTGCCTGCTGCAGGGAAATCTTGCTCTCCTTCACCGCCTTGGTAAGGCCAGACTGCAAAAGAGAGGCATCTGTCAGAAATGGGAACCATGCTGCCCTCAACGCTCCAGGAATGATCCCTGGAAAAAGATCATCCAGGATGTACTGCCTGGTGCCCTAACCCTGACCTCCGCCCCTCCATGTCCCGGGACGTCCCCTTGTCTCTAGTCCCTCCCTACCGGCCTGGCCGACACGCAGGGTGCCGGTGGGGTGAACCAACAGCCGGAAAGGTGAGCGCGGCCGCCTCCCAACCCCACTGGCGTTCCTGTGGGATGGGGCTATTCTCCCCCCACCCCGGCTGCTGCACGTTCTGGGGGTTCTTCTCAACAGCCTCATTTATGCCGCTGGGTGGGCGTGATCCCAGAGAATATTCATTTCCCTCTGCCTGACAAGAGGCACCCACTTCCCCAGCACAGGGCAGCGGGCATAAACCAACGGGAATAATCGGGATCCTGACTTAAACCTCTAGCAAGATTCCCATGAATCAGAGAAGTTCCTTCCTTCTTTTTTTCAACAATGAAATGTCAAATCTGCTCCAAGTGCTCCCAGTGATTTATTTCCATCTGGGTACGCTATATATTTCCACGACTGTGCCGCGAAAAATCTCCTTGACAGATCCAAGTGGTGGTTAAAAAATTCATTATGTGGCTGCATTTTCATCTATATTCTAATTGCTTCTCCTTTCTTAGTCAATTAAAACTAAGTAGCTCCTCAGGAGCAGCGATAACGTGTGCCACTGGTGAACTGAAGCCCTGCCTGAGTCCTCAGCTGGAGACGGGGAGAAGCACCCATCACGGTAAATTAATATTCATCTTCCCAACTCCTGCTAATCCTTCCCAGGGCGAGCAAGATGCCGAAGGGGGAGAAGGAAGGGAGCGGTTATGGGCACCTTAAAACTTCAGCCCTTAACTGAAAACAAACTTGAATTTCAGTGTGTTATCAGGGGTTGGAAAATCCATTCGCTCTCTTGCTACTGGCAAGGCGGAGGCTTTCTTCGGCAGCTGGGTGTAACCTCTGGCTGTGAAAGGGAAGCGTTTTCCTAGGCTGACAGCGCTGAGGGGACAGGCAAAACCCACAATCCAACGTTTACCCCAAATCAGTCTTTGTAATTCTCCAAAATTCTGAATTTGCAGCGATAATGTTGCATTTCGCCGGCTTCACCGGGAGGAGCTGTCTGAAGCGTCCCCCCAGCCCACCCCGCAGCCGAGCCCCCGCAGAGCAGGCGGACCGGGGAGCAAGGCCTGACTTCCCAGCTGAGGGGCAGGATGCTGCGCCTCCGCTTTTGGGAGCAGCACCCGCCTGAGCGAGGGATCCTGTTCCCAGGCCCACCCGCGCTTCCCTCGCCCTGCCGGCAGCCACTGCTACAGCCCCCTCAGGGCAGCGCTCACTACTCTTGGCCTGTGCTGATGCTCTCAAGGCAGAACTCTTGCAAGGTCTGAAAAGCCAGGCGCCGCAGCACGGGCCGCTTCGGGGCCATCCTGCGGCTGAGACGCAGGACGAAGAGTAGGGACACGCCAGCGCGACTGGCAGCTGTGCCACCTAAAAAAAAACGCATCGGCTCCTCGGCACAAGAGAAGGATGATGCTTACGCTCTCCCGTTCTGCACCTCCTCTGCCTGCACACCGCTCAGCGCAGGAGTTGTCCCTTTTGAGGTGACTGCAGCTACCAACGCTGATGCCTACGTCACCCTCCTCCTTGCACAGCACGCTCACGTGAAGCCCGACGGCTCTACGAGGGTTACCTTCCCATGATGCTCCTTGCACCACTCGGACATGCTCTCCAGCAGCTCGTCGGGCTGATTAATAATCAGGTTTGGGCCCTGTCGGGAAGAGAAAAACATCGAGGCAACGGGCAAAAAGTTTGGTGTCCAGCAGTTCAACCGCGAGCAGCCCTGCTGCTGCCGCACGGAGCAGCCTAGTGATTCACGAGGTCGGAGAAGGAGCCGTCTGGGGGTACAAAGCAGCGGCACAGAGGTCCCCGTGCTCTCCTGCCAGGGAGGAGAGGGGTCCCCGCGCTCTGGTTCAGGCCCCAAGTGCCGGTTGGAGCGGTAGGTGCCAACACAGCCGGGGCTATGCGGAAGCGGCGAGGCCTGCTGCACCGTAGCTCTTTTTTTCGCATCGGGAACCCAAACCTCCCACTGGGAGCACCCCAGGGTGTCCGGGGAAGCCCGGGGGCAGGGCAAGGCCCGGCGGCTGCTCACCTCGGCCAGGACGTTGAGGTCGGAGTCGGTGATGAGGCAGGCCATCTCCAGGATCTGATCCTTCTCCACGTCCAGGCCCGTCATCTACCGCAAGAAAGGGAACGGCACCGTTAGGGCC